CTGTTTTGTTTTGTTTTGTTTTGTTTTTTGGTGTAGGGGGCAGGGGGAGAATGGAAGGGTAGGAGATGGGCAGCTCTCAGACAGCATTCATAATTTCAGTTTTTTAGTCTATTTAGTTTTTTCTTGTCTCTGCTAAGGGTTAGGTTTGGAAAATTATATTTTTCTAGAAAATCACCCATTTCATTCAGACTTTCAAATTTCTTTACATAGAGTTGAGATAAGAAGTCTTATCTTTTTTCCCAAATTTTATCTATTTTTGTGCTTTTTCTGGTGTGGGGGCGTGTGTGTGTGTGTGTGTACTTTTGCACTCCTTTTAAAATTACATTGTCTTGTGCTTTATTTTCCAAAGAATCGACTCTTGGATTTTAATTTATTAGTATTTACTGTTTTTCTGTTTTCTAACTCAGATTCTGCTCGGGTGGTTTTAAATTTCCTCTGCTTATTTTTGTTCTTTGTAAACTTTTGGTTGAATGCTTATATTATTAGCCTTTTTTTTTTTCATTTTTTTATTGAATTAACTAAGGCTCTGAGCATTGCTTTAGGTGAATTCCATAGGATATATATTTTATATGGATGTATGTGGTCTATACATATATGTATGGGTGTGCATATGTATGTGTACTTGTGTATATATATTCAGTATGTATATGAATATACACATATTTGATGTGGTTATGCAAATAAATTGAAAGAGGACAGAAGCTTATGTAAGGAACCCACTTAGAACACAAATGAGAATATTATAATGGTTCACATGAGAAATTTTTATGGCCTGAATTGAAATCATAGTAGTAGAAATGCAAAGAAGAGCATAGAGAAAGATTGGAAATGAAATGTATGAGAAAGGGAAAATAAATAACGTAGAATAACTAGCAGCTTTGTGGTTTGGGTAGCTGGTAGATGAAAGTGGGTTCACTGATTTAGGGCTTATGTTCAGGATGGAATAATGGAAGAATAGATTTGGAGTAGAAAGGTGAGTTCAGATATAGACATGTTTGCATTAAATCCAGGTACAGATACCTTATTAAAAATCAGATAATCAAGTCAGGAGCTCAGGAAAACGAAGGAAGCTAGAGATTTGGCAGGGGGCGGAGGGTGCCTGGGAAAGGGTTGATTTTATGGTTTCACTCAGGTGATCTAGGATAGTATCTCTATGACCTAGAGATAATAGGTCAAAAGATGCATTATTCAAGGTCTACATTTTTTTTGATATATATTTTATTGCATTTTAGGTTTTGGCATACATGTGAAGAACATGCAGGATTGTTGCATAGATACATACATGGCAATGTGATTTGCTGCCTTCCTCCCCATCACCTGTGTCTGGCATTTCTCCCTTACAGAACTTTTCTCCTTCTTTCCTTCCTTCCTTCCTT